TTCTTGAAGAAATAATACGAAGCCTCTCGAAATTTCTTATTTTGTTCTTACCCTGGATCAAATGTACCTTTTTTTTGGATGTTTATATGGAGAAACCAGTCTATACATATGAAATATAAATAAGATACATATGACTAATGTGTACCATACCTGTCGTTCCAGATTATTTTAAAAAATTTGTCGCAGGAGATAACCCGCCTGGAAAAGAAGATAATGCCCCCAATAAAGCAGAGGAACTTCTCGGAGTTAAATGAAGATGGATGTCTGAGAGGAAGAAACTCAGATAAAAATGTAAGTTCCACCCATTCTGAATCTGATGATGGCGTGTTATCTGGGTTTGATGAAATGGAATTATGTGACTACTTTATGAGATCGGTCCTCAACTTAGGTTGAAACAGACAGCAAGGGAAAATTTCTGAGGTGAAGGGGAACTCCTATTTATGCATAGGGCGCGCCAAAGGATAATAGAACATACCAAGCCAACAATTTGCGGATAACTGTTTCTAACTATTCCGAAGTGGAGTGTCAGATACCGCCCTACCAATGTGCAAGTATGGACATCGTGTATTCAACTGTATTTCTCACTAGATAATCGCTTCAGGCGCATAATTCGTTTCCACTTCATTGTATCAGGAGATTTTGACAAGCGACCCCTTGTTCCTTTTGTGTCTTCCCTAATGATACCTTAATTACTGGAGTAAATAACTATTTATCTGTTAATGGCGCATATCTCAGCCGTATATTTTTATTTCTTTCGTTTACACGACGGCGGAGATAAGGCATATAAAGTCATAGTGTATTTTTATCTGAACGAATTATGTCTCTTTCGACCCTGGATTTGTTCTGTGGGTGACACTTAATATTATGATGTGAATAAAAGTTTCGTGATATCACCCATCTCGGTAATCATTAAGGCCCACATTAGTTCGCATTATGTCGCTTATTTCACTGAATGCCGCACTCTCCTGCAGCAATAATAATTATTTATGCTCATAGCTGTCTATTTCTTCGAGTGATAAAACACGCGTGAGGCAGAAAGAAGACTCCGACAGGTTTCTCATGACTGCCGCATTCAGACACAAAGGCCTCATTGTAAACAAAATTCCCCCCATGGCGCTACGTGTGTTTCCGCTTCCTTGTTGCACACTTGCCAGTTTCAATTAGCGAAGCACTGCAACAAGGCTTTCAATCTTCACTTCACCTTAATGCTTGAAGAGGGCTGAAATTAGACGAGCCAAACGTGATAGGATTTTCCCGAAAGAGAAGGAAAAAAAAAATGAAGACTGTCCATGATAGTAAAGTTCGATCGAAACGGTGGCTCGTCCTGCTCTGCAGTAACACCTCTGAATAATACATATATTTAATACCTTCTTTTAAATCTTCCAGATCTAAATTAAAGGTCATCTGCATCCTGTTCACTAGCATTCAACAGCAGAAGGA